TCTCTCTCTCTCTCTCTCTCCAAAAGGGGGCCCATTATTTGAGAGACACTGAGCCCTATATTCCCCTACATAACCCAAAACGTACCCAGCATTATCAGAACAACCCATATACATCATTTTTAACTGATGCAGGACCGCCTTGGCTGTCAAAGTTTGCGAACATAATCTGGGTTGCACAGTCGTTATATAGGGATTATAGGGCAATATAAGGTTTATATGGGGATAATGGAAAAGAAAATGGAAACTACCACTGCTGTTACGGAAGTTAATTTAAGTTACTATACTGGGGAAACCATATTCACTATTATACATATATACCCATTATGGAAACTTGGTTTAAGTTCCTTAACAGCAACCCAGTCATCTGGCAAGGGATTAACTATGTTGGGGAATTATATCGCCTTATCTATGGATAATAGAAAAGAAATGGAAATTACAATATCATTAAAGGGTTTAGCGTATTGATCCGCCTGAGGGGCAGTTATCAAGGCGTGCAAAATGGACATTGCCTGCCACTGGGTGCAGGCCGCCAAGAAGGATGGCGACAAGAAAGCCAAGAAGGCCTCAAAGAAAGAGGCGTGTTTGCCGATCTACTTCGGTGCATGCTACTGCTGACCGTCGGTATGTATAGTCTTCGTGGGACTGGTGTTGTGCCGCCTCGTAGGCATCACGTGAATGATCACTGCTTGCCCAGGCTAAGAAGGCCAAGAAAGACGCCAAAAAGGAGGCTAAGAAGGCCAAGAAGCTAGCAAAGCAGATCAAGACGCCCGATCGTTTCAGTGTTCCCCATGCTATTCTACACCATAAGTGGCGTAGCATAGGCTGCTACGGCTACAGATTTAGATTACGGCACGCGCTAATACGCGGGTTGCCCAAGTAAACTGCACATGATAGAAACTTCAGACAGGAACTCCTCAACAAACAGGGGCTCCCCCTGCTCTGGAGCTTCTCAAGCAAACCATCAAGGAAGCTGGAAGAAGAAGTCGAGAAGCGGAAGAGGCAGATCAAGGGCGAAGTGCAGGCCATGGTTTGCAGACAGTTAGGGTTTGGGGTTTGGGGCTTTAGGGTTTGAGTTTTGGATTTTAGGGGTTAAGGGTTTGAGTTTTGGGTTTTAGGGTTGTTTTAGGGTTTAGGGTTGGCGGCTTCATACTTCTGATGCTTACAACCTTGCATGGCTTTAAGTGGTACTGTAACATCATACTTCCCAAGGTAGAAGGTACTTAGGGTCATGCAGGATTTGTACCATCAAATGTATGCGGGTTCTCAACATGTTGGCTCCTCGTGGGTTGATGATGGATACTTTATATATACATATGTACTGTAAGAAGGGGCACGTGACACATCTGAGAGGTGTAGTTGTAGTCGGGGATGTGGAGGACAATTGGGGGGCTCTTTGCCTACAGGTATTACGATCGGAAGTGTCGTAAATGGATCAGGCAAGGTCTGGGACTTTGAAGACACTGAGTAGGGTTCCTTACAAAACCCGCCCACCCTGCTTATGACAGATCATTTTCCCAACTCAGAAGTGGAGTATGTGAGCCGGGGCCCAATTTACCAATTTTGTAAAGTAGTAAAGGTGGTTGTACAATGAGCGGAAAGATGTTGAAACTACCGCAAAACGATGCTGGGCACCATTATAATGCACCAAAAAAAAAAAGGACCCCAGAACGATGCCCGCCAAGCCTGCTGAACGATGCCGGGAACCTTACATAACGTCCAACATTAACACACGAAAATCGGATGCAAGCTCATATAGGAAGTTAATTTTTGAGCGGGAGGTTCTGCATAATGCAGTTCTCGGTCATTTCCAGGAGCCAGGCAGCTAGGCTTGACCACATCCTTTCCAAACGCAGTCTCAATGGGATGCTTTGTGTTTGCTGGTGGGGAATAGAGGAACCGTTGCCGTTGATCTTAGCGGGATTGCTAGGCAATCCACCCCCTCGGCTCGCACCTTAGCACCAGTAGGTAAGTCTGAAGTGGAGTGGAGGAGAAGAAGAAAAAGAAGAAGTCATCGTCATCTTCCTCACTGTCATCCAGCGCCAAAAGGCGCTTCTTGCAGAAGCAAGGCGTGGATACCTCCAGTAAACATGTGGCTTCCCTTTCTCATGATTTGGGTCTCCTTGTACCCCCAGTGGGTCCTAGGTGGGGGGTGGGGTATACGTGATGGGTAGAGTACGTAGAACCATACAATCCTAAGCACAAGGCAAGATGCCGTCTAGCATCGCGGCCACAAATCCAGGCCAACTTACGTCGTGCCGAAGTGATTCGAATCTAATCGAGAGCTAGGAGTTATGAGGATTTGCGGCACATGACCTATCCGAAGCGATGCTGCCGCAAGGGCCTGCCTGTTACAGCTGGACATTTCCCAAACCCAATCCTGGGCTTCTTAACAAGGGGCCTGTATATTTGACAGGCTTCCATGCCTCCCTGTCGGTTCCAGCCTCCCCAAACCCAGACCCTGCCTTCCATGCAGAAGCCAAGAAGCCTCCAGAGCCTGTCATCATTCCTGAGGACTGCTACCGGCCCTTCAAGTGTGTATTACAGGGGTTTAGGGTTTGGACTTTAGTCAAGTTTGGTCAAGTTTGTGTTGAAAAGGGTGAAGGTCCATGCGTGTGATCCCCTGACTTGCATGCGGTGGCTGCCGAATTTTCACGTCACGTTACAACCGCTGGTGTAGCCAACTCACACGGCAACTGCCACACACCTGCAAGAAGCTCGGACTCTCTAGAGAAGCTGTGGCCTGTTGTCCCACCATCCTTCGGCAAAGCCAAGTGCTATCCATGGTCAGTTGCCGAGGTGTTTGCAATAGCTCTGGGGAAGCTGAACTCAGAGCCAAGCCTGGTGTGGAACAGTATTTGTTGCACTTTATGGTGCTGGTGCTACTTTCTTGGTTCTCGCAGCATCGGCAAATAGCTTACATCCTGAACAGTTAGCAGTGTAGCTGCGATCCCCAACAGAAAGCCCACACCTTAAATTAAATTTAGAGCCAACACCAAGACCACAACCACCCGAATCTATGATGCCACGGTCGTCTTAGTCAGCCTGGATCTCCCAACGTTAACCAGAACCCGCAGATATCTGACCCACAAACCCCACACTGTGAACTCTCCGTCCTTCTTCATCTCCCTCCTTCAAAACTGTGAAGACATTTAGAAAGGTTTTTTTTATTCATCCCAGGAAGACACAACAACGACCCAAGCGGTTGGCCTGCTTTGCGCAGGAGCCAGAGCAGCAGTTGCCGGAGCAAGTGCTCAACCTTCCCGAGCGGCCGTGTCCACAATGTGGCCAGGAGACTTTGGGGATGCCAGGGCTCTTTGAGACATTGCCTGAACCATGCCTCAAGGCCCACATTCCTACTTCATTATAGGGGTTGGGGTTCTTGGGATTCGGGGCCAGCAGTAGGTGGCTCGAGCTGGTTGCAGCAGGTTTCCAGAGCCTCTTCCTCTCTTCTTTCCCTCTCTCTCACTTTTCCTCTCCCTCTCTTCCGCTCTCTCTCGCTGTCTTTTTCCATCTTTCTTTGTCTTTCTCCTACTGGGGTCCACACCATGCCCTCGGGGGGGGTGTACTCTCCATAATGTACCCCAACAGAACTCGAACCGAACTCGAACTCCCCCCCCTCCCCCAAAAAAACATAAACTTGGAACTGAATTCGATCGAACTGAACCCGAACTCGAACTGNNCTCGAACTTCCCCCCTCCCCTAGCAGGAGTAGAATATCAAATTGAACTCGAACTCGAACTGAACTCGAACTCCCCCCCTCCCCCCCCCACAAAAAATGAACTTCGAATTGAACTCAAACTGACTTCGATCTCCACCTGAATTCGAACTGAACTCGAACTGAACTCGAACTCGAACTGAACTCGAACTTCCCCTCTTTTTTTCAGTAGAATCAGAAGTAGAATATCGAATTGAACGCGAACTCGAACTGAACTCGA